TGAGAATAATGAGATATGAATTATTGCGGCAATTGCTTGAATTATGCCTAGACATAGCAATTATACTGCCCACATATCAACGGTGCAACGAGAGAGACAGGGAGAAGACAGCTGGATGGATGATCATGCGAAGAGATCTCAGATACGAATTGAATGGACGGATGGATAAAGAAAATCGCTCCACCTTCTGCATAGAAATGAACCTCTCTGATGAGTGGGAAGACCTTCGCAGAGCGTCATCACCTCTCAGATATCTGGTCAAGCAAGTTGAATAATCATTAACGAATATACAAACACATATAAAGACGAATGTTCTCATCATCGTTATCATTTACAGTTACATTCACTCAGATCGCATCGTCGCGTTCGTTAGTGTTTCATCATGTGCTAGCCATATTCTCATTGTTGATCTAAGTTTGTGTGATCGATCTTACAATTGTAAATTTCACAATTCCATTGATACTAATCAAATATACCGTTCATTTTCAGTGGTTGATCTAAAATCAGTAGGAGGATAAAGCCGAGTCGCACGTCGTCGTTTCATTCATCCGGCTATTTAGAATCAGCTTTATCCACATTATATCTGCCATTCGACCATCTCAGCAGCAACAACCACCAACGAGAAGGACGATAGGAAGATGATCGTGGAGTCGGAAACTCGTGAAACGGCTTATCGTTTCGTCTCCTATACGGCCGTAGCATTCTCGCTGATCGCGATACTTTCCGTGTTTGTCACGCTACCTATGGTCAACAGCTATGTGAATTCAATTCATCAACGTGTACAGACCGAAATGGAATTCTGCAAGGTTAATATCGTCTGAATACGAACTCGATCTGTTATTCCAAAACTCATCTCACATTACTCTTTCATGATGTATCTATGGAATTTTTTTTTGTTCGATGCAAATTATCCCTACTTCTCAATCTTGCGCAAATATTGGCTGAAGATAGTGAACGGGCAAAATGCTTGGAGGCTGGAAATAGCAGAGACGAACTGCCATCGAAAACACGCGATTGAACGAGAAAAGTACTGGAATGCAGTGAATTTCAGATGTCAGCACAAGATGTGATGATCGAAGTGAACCAATATCGAGCAACACCCAAAAATACGGCTCTCCCATCGTTTTTGCGACTGCCCGCTAACTCGACCACCAATCTCCGCGCTAAACGTCAAGCTTCATGTCAAGGTTTGTTAATCTCAATTTTGGATCTTCCATTTTTCAAATTCAACCACAGAATATTCCTTCTGCAGTCTGCACGGTACGATTCATTCGTTCCAGTCAAGAATTTATAGAAAATCACATCTAGATCATATGATTGCAATTAAATGACAAGATGAAAAGGTTTGCTCTGCAAAAATACAGTCGAACATTTTTTCAGGATGTTGCTTACCTGGACCACCTGGACCTGATGGTCCACCAGGTAAAAATGGAAGACCAGGTCGCCCAGGAGCACAAGGCCCACCAGGATTTCCAGGACGACCACCAGCGTACGTTTTTTTTCAATTTATCTGGCATGCTGAACTCAAAATTGAGGCATGAAACGCGATAACGGAGTTGCAGAGGAGACCGTGAATATTTTCAAAAAATCTCCGTAAATATCGCAATATATCTCAATTGAAACCGGGAATTTTGAGGTTCTTGAAGGTGTTTCTGCTCTGATGTCACAAAATGCTTCTTTATTTTATCTTAACGGTGTGACATTCCAGAGTATGCGAACAAGTCACGGAACCACCATGCACTCCTTGTCCACCTGGAGAACCCGGACCACAGGGACCTCAAGGAGATCCCGGTAAGGAACAAACAAATAGAAGGATTTGATTAGACACTGAAGAGCTGTTGGAAAAACAAATTTGTTGGATTATGTGCTCAAATACATGACTGCACGGCGATAATTCGGTCGGAATACGGTTATCTCTAGTGAAACGGTCTATGTTTTTAGGGAACGCTGGACCACCTGGTCCACCAGGAAGAAATGGAAATGACGGAAATCCAGGACCTCAAGGACCACCCGGAGCTCCGGGTCCACGTGGTGAACCAGGACGTGACGGACCTCGTGGAGAGGCCGGAAGACCAGCGATATCAACGCCTGCTCTACCANGAACAAGTGAGCATTATTTACTTACTTGATTGCACCAGACCAGTCTGAGTATATAGTAATGGTACAGCAATTCATGTCTAAATGTTTCATAGAAGTGCAATCCCATGGATTTCAAATGAATTTATTCAAAGTCTCAAACTGATTC